CCCTCCAATGGCCGCTGTGGCCAGCGTGCTGTGGCCAGCATACTGCGCTGATCCGAAGCCAGGAGCCAGGTGTCTCCTCCTGGTCTCCCATGCAGGTGCAGGGCCCACACACTTGGACCATCCTCCACTGCACTCCCGGGCCACAGCAGAGAGCTGGCCTGGAAGAGGGGCAACTGGGACAGAATCCAGCGCCCAGACCGGGACTAGAACCCGGTGTGCTGGCGCCGCAAGGTGGAGGATTAGCCTAGTGAGCTGCGGCACTGGCCCAGTATATTATGTTTTTAAAATGTTTTAATACCACAAATACACTTAATAAGTGTTTTTTTAAAATCCAAAATTGACCTATTACTTTAAAGTTCAAATTATCTCTAAAATTTATAATTATGAATAAATTTCTTCTTCTTTTTTTTTTTTTTTTTTTTTTTTGACAGGCAGAGTGGACAGTGAGAGAGAGAGACAGAAAGAAAGGTCTTCTTTTGCCATTGGTTCACCCTCCAATGGCCACCACGGCTGGCAGAGAGCTGGCCTGGAAGGGGGGCAACCAGGACAGAATCCGGCGCCCTGACTGGGATTAGAACCCGGTGTGCCGGCGCTGCAAGGTGGAGGTTTACTCTAGTGAGCCACAGCGCCGGCCGAATAAATTTCTTAACACAAACATGGTAGAGATTTAATTCTCTCAAATATTTCTAAACTTTAAATTTTTATTATTTCCTTGGAAGCCTGAAAGACAGAGACTGACAGAGTGAATGATCCCATCTGATGGATCACTCCCAAAATGCCTCCAACAGCCAGGATTGGACCAGGCAGGAATCTGGCACTCAATCCACGTCTCTCCTATAAGTCATCATCTACCACCTGTCAGTGGGTGCATTAGCAGAAACCTGGAATTGGAATCAGAGATAAGACTTGAACACCTAAAACAGGATGCAGGCATCTCAGGCAGCATCCTATCTGCTGTGTCAAATACATACCACATTATTTCTTAACTTAACACTGGGTTTCTTAGAGTTGAGACATCCCGATGCATCCCTATGTATTACATCATCCTAAGCAATCTGGGATATGTTTGGTGCGTGAGGTAGGAGTGAGAGTAGTGCCCTCATCAGCCAAGTGGAATTGCAGAATATCAAGACATCTGAGTCATCACAACAATGGAGTCCTGAGTACAATCTCAGCCCTACTCTCTCCTCCCTAGCTTCACTGGGGCCCTGTCACATCTTTGGATTTCTTGTGTCTTCGCTTTTTATTCTAAACACATAATAAATTGTACATATTTATGAGGTACAATAGAATTCAGTGCATGCTTCTAATGTGTAATGATCGTATTAGGGTGATTAGCAGCTCCCATTTTGTAAACATTTAGCGTTTCTTTGTCATGGAAAGCCTTAAACTCCACTTTTCTAGTTCTTTATAATACATAATAAATTGTATGAACTATAGACATCTCTAGTGCCGTAAAGCATTAGAACTTATTCCTCCTACATAACTGTGTTTTGTTATCCATAATCCAACCTCCCTCGATTCCCTCCTCTTGCCCCAACAGTTCTACCATCTGACAATCACTACTGTTCTTTCTTCCATAGAATTAACTCTCTTGGCTTCCATGGAGTGACAACATACAGTATTTGTCATCCTTTGGTAGGCTTATTTTGATAAATATAGTGTCCTAGAGTTCCATCCATGTAGCTACAAATGATAGAATTCCATTTTTATGAATACTATACCACTGTGTATGTGAACCACGTTTTCTTTCATCATTCATCCATTAATGGAAGTCTCAATTGGTTCTACATCTTGGCTACTGTGAAGAGTGCTGCAATAAAAACAGCTATGCAGCTATTTCATTGATGTACTGATTTCATTTCCTCTGGATATATTCCCAGAAGCGAGATAGCTGGGCCATATGGTAGTTCTGTTTTTATTTGTTTGAGGACTCTCCATAATGGTTTCTATAACAGGTATACTAATTTGTATTTCCAGCTGAAGTGCTAAGAGTTCCTCTTTCCCCATATGTTCACCAGCATTCTCACTTTTGTCTTGATTACAGCCATTGTAACTGTGGTGAGATGATATCTCCTTGAGGCTTTGATTGGCATTTTCTTAATATTGGATATGTCAATCAGCTTTTCATGTGTTTATTGATTATTTGTATGTCTTACCTTGAGAAAGATCTGTTCAGATCATTTGTGCATTTTAAATTAGTAATTTAAAATTACTAATTTTAGTAATGGCATTCCCATTTAACTCTAAAGATTTTTATCTTAAGGAACTTCCATATTCTTTTTTCAATTATTATTTATTTTTCTTTGCTTTAAAGGCAGAGTGAGAGAGAGAGAGAGAGAGAGGGAGGGAGAGGGGGAGGGAGGGAGAGAGGAGGGAGGTGCCTGCTATAACCAGGTCTAGCCCAGGCAGAAGCCCTGAATTCAATCCAGGTTTTCTATGTGGATGGCAGAGAAACTCAAGCCTTCACTAACTGCCTGCTAGGGTGTGCATGAACAAGAAACTGTATGGGAAGCAGGGGCAGGACTCAAAAACTCAGGCACCCTGACATGGGTGCAGGCAGCTCAAGTAGTGTCTAAAGCACTCTGTCAATCCCTGCTCAGACTTCTGTTATCTTTTCTCTATCTTAGGTACTATGGTTTTATAAGTTTTAAAGTAATATCTACCTGATCTTTCTTATGGGCTATTATGTGGATAAAATACATGTGTAGTCTTTTCTTCAGTGTCTGGTAGAGAGCAAGCCCTGAGTTATCTCACCTACGTCATCTGACTAAATGGTAACTGTACCATTTCCACTATGATTCTCCTTCCAATATTTGCACCACAGTGGTCATAGGAGTGATTTCTGCAGTAGCAGCAAATGCTAACCACCCAGCAGCAGCAGCCTCTTAGAGTAAGTCAGTCTTAGACACACACATAAGATTCCACAGCGGAGTACATGAGACTGCTCAGCAGAGGAGGTGTTTATTGCATTCATATAGATTGATGAATTAGATCTTAATCATCTACTCTAATATTTCATAAGTTTCTTTTTAGGGTGATGAAAATATTTTGGAATTAAACCATAGTGATAGTTTTACAAATTTGTTAATAAAAGTAGCCAAAATATACACTTTAAATGAAATATGAATTATAAATTGGTAAAAAAAACCATCTCAATAAGTAAAACAAAAGCTATGTATCTACTCACAATGGATGTTTTAAAAAAAATTACCCCAAAGTGTGGTGGCAGGAAACAATCATGTATGACAGTATGGATTGTGAACTCAGGAATCCACCCAAGATAGAACGAGGTTGCTTTCCTCTGTTTTGCTAAACTCACCAACAGGCTCAATCACTCACAGGCCTGGCAGTAAATGCTTGCCTGTGAGCAGAGACTTTAGTTGGGGATTTGACTGGGACACTCTCTTACAGCTATACCAGAGGACCTGGATTTTCTCAACACAGAGGCTAGGTTCCAAGGGCAATCATACCCACAGTGGGAGAAGAGATGGTCAGGGGGAAGCCTTTCAGAAGTCACTTGGAGTTACTTCCAGCACATGCCATCCTTCAGAACTGCATCACTAAAGCAAGACCATATTCTGTGATGGGAATACAGACTGCCCCTCTCTTAAGAAAAAACATCACTATCACATTTTAAGAGACGCATAGGGATGGGCTAAACTGAGAAATAAAATCTACCACAGTCTTTAAAAACACCCTCTGAAAAAAATGTAATCTTCAACATCAATTTTGTAAAACAAACTGTGAGATTCTATATATGTTACTAGACCAAAAGCAAAAACAGTATTAAAGAATTTCATCAGCAACATGACAATGAATTGAAAGAAGTTAATAAGTTGTATGAATTCTGAACACATTTTTTAATCTACACATCGCATATATGCAGTCATTCAGTTAAGCATTGATTGAGCAGAAATTTACTATTGCCAAGTATTGTTTTCAGGTTCTGTGATCCAAATAACACAAAACACCAGGTATTTAGATTTAGCAGGAAAAAAATAGCTCTGATGGAATCATCCAAATTCAGGAGAAATAAAGTGTTTTGCATACATAGCTTTGTGATACACTCACACTATTCAATGTATAGACAGCTTGAGTGTAATCTGTGGTCTTGAAGCATTAATAATAAACATGATTGAGAAAAAACATACTAGTCGCTGAAAAGGAAATCCTTCCACAAAGTTAGACCTAGATGAAAGAAGACAGAAACCAGCAGGCCATGTTCTGATACAACAGGTTAAGCCATCACACTCGCAAACCAGCATCCCATGTGAGCACTGGTTCAAGCCCCAGCTTTTCCACTACCAACCCAGCTTCCTACTAAAGCACCTTTGAAAGCATCAAAAGATGGCCCAAGTGCTTTGGACCCTGCTACGCATGTAGGAAACCCAGGTGGAGTTCTTGGCTCCTGGATCTGACCTTGTCTAGCCCAAGCTATCATGGCCGTTTGAGGGAATGAGCCAGCAGATGAAACATCTTTTTCTTTCTCTCCCCGACTTTGTCACTCTTTCAAGTAAATACATATTTTTTTAAAAAATAATTTAGGTAATTATATAAGTTCTAGCAACTTTTAAAATCCCAAGAACAGAGACATACTTGGATTTTTTATTTAAATGAGCCAGTCTAATTTTTTTCATATTATCATATCCATGTTTACAGAGTTGATGTTTATTAAATTTGTCAGCCTTCACTGTGTTCATCAAAGTACTGAAAATTTAATTTAACTTTTACCAGACAGTTCCAGAAACGTACATCCTCTGTAGTCACAATGATGTTAAGCTGGCATTTTCTTGAAAACACTCTGATTTATAAAGAACTGATGTAGTTTTTTATAACCAAGCCTTAATTATTTTGGATAACAGAACATGAAAGTAATGACAATGTTATTATAGCTTTAATGCATCCGCAATTCAATCCATTTCTCAAGTTACATAAAAGAAGCAGAACCGTAACTGATTCATTCAGAGAACAGAATCAGCAGCTTCACGTTTCCCTACCTGGGGTGCTTTGTCCCTGGAACAGCAGGTTGCACACAGCCTCGTGCAGACCTGGATGACGAGACACCATTTCCGCCATGTTGAAAACAGCCTGGAAAACAACCACATCCAGGAAGCAGCTTGGTCAGAATAATACATGACGGTCAGTGGGGCCAAAATTTCTTTGCATAAAGCTGAAATTTTGTTTTCAAAATTAGAAGGCAGCTTTAGGAGAGGTCTTTCTGAAAAGACACCTGCTGAACATTTATTCATTCTGTATTGTCACTTCATGTATTTCTGGTTCATGTCCAATGCTAGACTATAAGCTCCATGGGGACAGGCACTACCTCTGCAGTCCTGTGTACTGGTTTCAGGTGTCTGAGGACCCCTGAAGAACGCCATGTGAAAGGAAGAGTGGAAAGGACAAGAGTAAGTGCAGGTGGGAGGGCCCAGAAACACTGTCTCATTTTCTCTTACCTTTTTTTTTTTTTTTTTTTTGCTGATCTGTTTCACATTAAAGTAATATCTGATTTACAAAGAATATCTGACATATTTGAGCCAAGTTTCCACTGATACTGGTAGGAACTATGAGATTACATCCTGACATTTTTTTTTTCTCACACAAACTCCTGTTTTCTCTATGTTTTTCTTCCACACTTATCCTATGGGAAAGTTGCAGGTCATCAAGAAAATGAAGTGGGATGGGCATTTGGTATATCCATCAAGAGGCTGCTAGGGACCCCCTTGCTCTGTGTTAGAGTGTCAGGGCTTAAGTTATCAACTCTACTTAAGACAGAGCTTCCTACTGATGTATGCCCTAGGCGGCAGCAGATGGAACCCCTGGATTGAGTTCCCAGCCCTTGATGTTTCAGGCATTTGGGAAGTGACCTGGCAGAAGATCTGCCGCTCTCCCTTTCAAATCAGAAAAGACTGAAGCACAAAACTGCCTTCTATTTTGTTCCAGTCTTTCTTGGCACTCCAATGAACACATTAATTGTACTAACTTTATTAGTCACTGTAAAAAAGAGGTAATTTAGGAAGTTTCTTCTTTATGGATGTATATTGGTATCCCTTTATCAGAGAACTCAGTGTTACTGGGAAAGCAGCTACCATGTAGGGGACATTAAGGTACTCTTACTGCTCAGATTCAATGTTCTTAGAAAATTAATGATTTCTCTGTTGGTCTCAATTTTTTTTAAAAAAATAGTATTATCTGTGTCAATATTACAGAAAGCTTTGTGAATAGAAATTATTTGTTCTGAAAGAAAACATGTTTATGTTTTATGTGAGGGAAACTTAATAGGCTACACCTTGATAAAGCCATCATGAAATAAGAGAAGGTGATTTTGCTCTTTTAAAATTAGAAACACAGATATATTACCTGAACTTTTATTTGAGAATTTACTAAATTGGAAATTCTATATTTTGGAGAGCACAAATATCTTCAGATAAAAAGAGAAGAAAGAGTGAATCTTTTAAAGTCTTTTTTTTTTTTTTTTTTGACAGGCAGAGTGGACAGTGAGAGAGAGAGAGAGACAGAGAGAAAGGTCTTCCTTTTTGCTATTGGTTCACCCTCCAATGGCCGCTGCAGCCGGCGCATCGCGCTGATCCGAAGGCAGGAGCCAGGTGCTTCTCCTGGTCTCCCATGGGGTGCAGGGCCCAAGCACTTGGGTCATCCTCCACTGCACTCCCGGGCCATAGCAGAGAGCTGGCCTGGAAGAGGGGCAACCGGGACAGAATCCGGCGCCCTGACAGGGACTAGAACCCGGTGTGCTGGCGCCACAGGTGGAGGATTAACCTAGTGAGCCGCGGCGCCGGCCTTAAAGTCTTAAAAGTCAATTAATCTGATTTCCAGGAATAGCCTTGAGGCTTCAAAAAACATGCTCATTTCCAAAATCTGGCTACCTGCCAGGCTTTGCCTCCAGGGGAAAAGCCCATCAGATATTCAGAGATGCTTTAAAAAAAATCCTGCAGGGGCTTGCATTTGGCCTAGTAGTTAAGCTAGGTTAGTTAGGAGGCTCATATCCCATTTTTGAAAGGCTGGGTTCAAGTCCTTGCTCTGGTTCCTGATTCCAGCTTCCTGACAGTACAGGAAGCAATGACAACTCCAGCAGCTGGGTTCCTGTGTCTCACATGGGCGAATGGATTAAGATCCAGACACCTGACTTAATCTGACACAGCCCTGACTGGTGTGGACATTTGGGGAGTGAACCTGTGAATGTAAGTTTTCTATTTCTGTTTCTCTTACTATGTCTAAAGTTTTTTTTTTTTTTTAACTCCCTTTAAAGATGCTGTGAATGGCATTTTGGTTCACATTATATCTCATGTTACTGCTGAAGGTGATTTTCATTGTTCCTATTCCCTGATGTGGTCACACAAACGACACAAATGTAAATTCCATAATTATGATAAATGTCACATACATGGAACACAGACACTCCTTTATTTGTAATGGTATTATGTCCTGACAAACCCATCATAAAGTTAAAATCTACTTGATACATCAGGATTAGGAGACACAGACAGGCATTTTGTAGACAGGATAAGAAGCAAACATACAAAACACAACATCAAAGAATTGCTGGCAATACAGTGTTGGTGGCTGAGCAAGGGCTGTGGCTACTTCTGCACAGCATCATGATAGAGTATCATATCATGTTTCACTAGCCTGAGGAGAGATCAAAACCCAGAAACTGTTTCCACTGAGGGTATGCTGCCTTCACATCATTATGAAGTTCAAAAACCATAAGTCTGAAATCTTTATATCCCAACTAATGAATAAAGTACTGTAAAAGTTTTCTTTCCCTATTGATTTATGACAAATTTAAAAGGTTTCCATGATGACAGAAGAGGTAGGGAGCTTTCTGCTGTAGTCTAGGGGAAGATCATTTTTAAAAACGTAGTGAGAGAATGCAATCTCAGGGAAGAGGGAGAAAACTGCAGACAAAACTGCACGTAAATTAGAAGGAAACCGTGGACCTACATGGAGGGTGTGGATGCGTACAACTGAGAACCCAAGAAGTTGAGAGGCTCAGCACCAGCTTTGGAGAATGAGGTGAGCTTTTTCACTGGGCAGTCACTGTGGGCAGCTCCAACACTCAGGACGCCATGATTCTCTGGTGAGGGTCATTGCTGCGGAATCTGCGCTCACACCAAGGCCTGCAGGGATCCTCTGTGTGGTTCTTGTGGCACTGTGTATGAATATTACACCCACTGATCTCCTTGTAGGAGAGGTCTTGAGCATGAAACTACACCAACAGAGCTGAATAAACCTCCCCTCTGATAAAAAAAAAAAAAGATTTATCACACCCAACTTGTGTGTCACTTTGGACACTCCCCTCACCCTGGATCACTGAACAGAACCCCCTGACCCCAAGTAGCACACCACCTCTGGATATTCACTGAAAAAGCAGACACTCCACTAAGCCCCAGAGGTATAGTCCAAGGAGAAGAATAAGGAAGACAGGGGCCGGCACTGTAGCGCAGCAGGTTAACGCCCTGGCTTGAAGTGACAGCATCCCATATGGATACCAGTTCATGTTCCAGCTGCTTCACTTCTTTTTTTTAAAAAAAAAGATTTTATTTATTTATTTGAGAGGCAGAGCCACAGACAGTGAGAGGGAGAAACAGAGAGAAAGGTCCTCCCTCCACTGGCTCACTCCCCAGATGACTGCAATGGCCAGAGCTGCACAGACCAAAGTCAGAAGCCAGGAGCCAGGTGTTTCTTCCCAGTCTACCATGCGGGTGCAGGGGCCCAAGGACCTGGGCCATTCGGCTGCTCCACTCCTGATCCAACTCTCTGGTATGGCCTGGGAAAGCAATGGAAGATGGCCCAAGTCCTTGGGTCCCTGCACTTGGAAGGGTCCTGGCTCCTGGCTTCGGATCGGCACAGCTCCGGCCATTGCAGCCAATTAGGGGAGTGAACCATTGGATGGAAGACCTTTCTCTCTCTCTCTCTCTCTCTCTGTGTGTGTGCGTGTGTGTATAACTCTGACTTTTGAATAAATAAATAAATACTTAAAAATGAATAAGGAAGACAACATGATGCCCCCAAAGGAATACAACCACACTTTACTAGAATGTGAAGATGAGATATTCAAGAATTTCTGGAAACATAATTCAAAAAATTGATCATAGGATTACTTAGAAGTAATCAGAAACATATCTATGGAGTAAAAAAATCCATACATGACATGAATGAAAATTTTAAAGAGAAATCAAAATGAAATACTGGAAATAAAGAATTCAATAGATCAAATTTAAAATGTAGAAAGCCTTAACAGACTTGGCAAGGCAGAAGAAAGACTACCTGAGTTAGAAGAAAAATCTCTGGAAATCTTACAGTCAGACAAAAAAGAAGAAGAAATTAGAAAACTAAAAAACAGTTGAGGATTTACAGGATACTATAAAACAACCTGATACAGGTCTTAGGAGTTTCTGAAGGTGTGGAAAGAGAGAATGGATTAGAAGGCATTCTTAGTGAAATAATTATAGAAAACTTCCCTATTTGGAAAAAGAAAGGGACATCCCAGTACAGGAAGCACATAGAACTCCTAATAAATATGACCAGAAAAGATCTTCACCATGACACACTGTAATCAAATTCACCACAGTCAAACATAAAAAAAGATTCTAAAATGTGCATGAGAGAAATACCAGATTACTTTCTCAGTTAGACTCAGAGAAGACTTCTCCTAAGAAATCTTACAGGCTAGGAGAGAGTGGTGAGATATATTCCAAGCCTTAAGAGAAACGAACTGTCAACCCAGAATACTGTACCCTACAAAGCTCTCATTTAAATGAAGGTGAAATAAAGACATTACATAACAAACAGAAATCAAAAGAATTTGTCGCTACTAATTCAGCCTTATAAAAGATGCTTAAAGTTGTGCTATACACAGAAACATGGTCACCACTATGAAAGAAGGTGAAGGCAGAAAGTGTCTCAGTGAAAGTAAAAAGGTAATGCAAAGTAAACAATGAGAATATTTATGGAAAAATGGCAGGGCCAAGTCATTACTTACTAACAGTCACCTTGAATGTAAATGGCCTCAACTCTCCAGTTAAAAGATACAGACTGGCTGAACAGATTAAAAAACAACACCCATCTAT